TAGGGATTATTAGGTTCAATAAACAAAGCAGCCCTTCTGTTTTATTTGTGTTAGTCTGTGGTTATTTATTCAGCAGTGACCGGTTGATTAAAAGCAGCAGAGCCTACTTCCTGTGAGTAACAACTTTAATAGAAGAGATAAATATTTTCCTTGTGGTTAATGATCAATAAACTGATTTATTGACATTTACCAATAATGAAGACATCTCGGATTTTAACAGCCGGTCCAAAACGTCCAGCCACAAAGGTAAGCTGTTAATAACACCTGGTAATTAAGCAAATTGTGAGTTATAATCATTTAATCAAAGAGAATTTGTTGGTTTTACCCTTGATTAGAATGACATATTAATTGGCTATAATGTCCAGTTGTAATTAGTAATATATTAATGACCTGCTAGTAAAATTGCACAGCACTTTTATAAAATGTTTGTGTCTTAAATTAAAAATGCATTAGAAATGTCTGACATTAAAGAATTCCTGATATATATGAACTTTACATATACTGATAGATTTAAAGCTACTGCTGCACAAAGAACCATCAGTGTTTGTTGTATTTATTTTGAATAGACCCAGTTAAGAGGAAGCCTTTGGGCCGTGTTGGTCAACATACCCTGAGCCAGAACATCTTGGATCTATACATCCGGATGGCGGTGTGCTGCCAGGACAGGTACTCATTGATTCGAGCACGCTGGTGGATATCGGTGGGGTACCAGAACTCTGGAGTCTGGAACTTCTCAGCCAGATAAAGCATGATGGGGATGCTAGAGGGAAGCAAGTGGATCAATAGGTCTACATTAGGTGCAGGGGTTATCAAGCTGATTTTTTTATTTATTTAATGATCACCTTTCAGCCAGACAAAAGTCTCCATCACGAAGTGCTGGAACTTTTCTCATCATGTTGATTTTTCCAAACTGATCCCCAAAGTGCTCTCCTAAAAGCAACACAGAAACATCTCAGTTCAGCAGGAAGCTGCTTCATTTAAAGAATGATTCACTCTTCACCTGCTCAAGCTGACAGAGGTGAGCAAAAGTTTTAAATAATTTTTAACAACTGATGTTAACCAATTTTCCATTTTTTTTCTTTTAGGACTAAAGTTCAAATTAAAATAAATCAAATCCATAACTATCTGTATGAGAGAAAATCAGACTCTATAATAATAAGTCTATTAATAATAAGGGTGCTCCTTACAGCCAAATATAAATATGTGTTAATCCTAAAGAGAAAATAATGCTTTGGTGCTGCTCATGATTTTCTGAGTTTCCCCACATTTTAAACCTTTTAACCTAAACAAGTCTCAACAAATGGTATATTTGTCTTTTATTGAAAACCAGGGTGAGTTTGAACCAGCAACCCTCCACAGACAGAACCTTGATAAACAGCCATCCCAGCATCTACTCTCCCTTAAAATATGCATTTTCCAGTGTTCCTGAGGGTGAACTCACCATGCATCAGAGAAACTTTCTTGAACTCAAAGGGAATGTTGTTCTTCTTTGCAAACATATAAACAGAGCGACAGGGCTGAGAAAAAAGGTCCAGATAAAGTTCCAAAGCCATCCCTGCTGCTTGCTTCTGCACTGATGAAGTTTTATCGAGTTTTAGTGCAGAAATAAATGCTCTGAAGATGCAGCTTTCAATGATTCCTTCAGGAAACCCAATAAGGAGTCCACCAAACTCCAGAACCAGAGCACATAAACACAGGAAATTCTCAGAAAAACCGCCCCTTCCAGCAGAATTCAAGGGTCTGGTTTGGGTTCCATAAATAGGGCAAGTGCGACCCCTGCTGTCTCACACATTCAACTGCAGGGAGAAGGCAAAATTCCAGAACCATGGTTTTCAAATTATGGCACCAATGCAACCGGTTAAACTTGGGTGACTTTTAATGTTACTTACAGAACAGTTTGGCATCAATGCAAATTTTTAAGTTTAAGAAATGGTAAAGATTTGCTCATTGAGTTTTGCTGCATATATCGCCTAAAGGTGAAGTAGAAAAGGCCTAAGAAGAAGTTATATCCTATGTTGTTTATTTCCTTCTCCAGTCAGAAGTTAATTTGAAGAAGATACAAAATCTGATATTCATTTTGCTTAAGTTTAGTAGGTTTGGAGTTTGATAAGACTTCAAAAATCCTTCTTTTTGTAGAATAAATCAGAACCCTTCAGAGGAAAAACAGCTCTACTTTGGTTTAACTGTTGATAAGACATTGATCTTAATTCAGATGCAGCTTTTAAACCTACAGTAAATCCTGCTGCCAAAACGCTTGCAGAGAGAAGAGCCTTTCTCTGTTTCTAAATAATCATTGTAGTTCAGCGTTTTCTGATTGCACTGTTAATTTGTGTCCCTCTTCTTTTTTCCCTTTTGTGTTCTCTAGTTGTTGCCTTGTTAGTTTTTCCTTTTGTCTATTGATTGCATAGTTCATTATTGTGTTTTTACCATCAGATTTTTTTAGTCTTTCTGTGTATCTCTGATCTCTATCTTTGTCTCCCTACTTCAGCTCTCTACTATCTTTCTGTCACATTTGTTTCACATATCCCCTTTTTTTCTATATCCCTTTAACCTACAAATTGAACACAGTAGAGTATGAGAAAACTCTCTAGAGCTTTGAGTCATTTTGCTGAACTTAACGCTCTGACCTTGGGCTAAAGCAGCTATTTTTTTCTTTGATAGAAAACTTATAACCGACCTGATGGTATGATCTGATTGAACTGTCTCTGTAAAGATGATGTGTGTTATGGATTGGCCCTACTATATATAAATAAACTGAAATGAATTAAATCCGAGTGGCTGCGGTCTCTGCAGAATGATGCACTTCAGACAGTTTGGAAATGGTCTTATAAGCTTTCATAGATTGATGAACCCACCTGCTTCTCTAAGGACACTGCTGATGGCAGCTGATGTATAGAGGTGCTCATACTGATGATGATCCGTCAAGTTCAAATTGAAGCAACAAGGATGCTTAGTTATTTTAAAGCATTTTTCTGGCTTTTGTTTGTGTATTAAATTTTTGCAGTTACTCTGAGGATGCATGAGCAACTATTTATTGGCAAATTACCATTATTGTTCTTAATAAATAATCACTTCATTGATGCAATTGTGTCTTCTGCAGCCATGTTCTAAAGGTCTTGATTAAAAAAAAAAAAATTATGGGTCATTGCCAAAGGTTATCGCACCAATGAAAGTAGATTTCACTTTTTGTGTTACAAGCATTCTAAAGCAGTTAGTAGTACCGCTGCTGTAGGAGCCTAAATTCAGTTTAAGATAAAAGAAATCATGAATAAGTTGCAGTAAATATCAGAAAGTTAAAGGTTCTCATATGTAAGGATATTCAATATTTCTAATTGTACTGAGGTCTTTTGCAAATGTGCACGGTTTGTTTCTGGATGTTTAGGGGAGTGGCTTCTGCTTCAGTATTTACATTTCTCCTAATCTTCTTTATCATTTTTTTTATGGAAATGTAATACCTACATTGTTTTTTTGTTTATTTTTTATAAATAGCTGAACCCAACAGAGAGGATCCAATTAGTTGCTTTTTTTCCCCCATCTACTGGATTACTGAGGGGAAAAAGCTTCAAGCTTTTGGCCTGATTACGGCATAAAGGTCCATGGTTAATATCTGAAAGGAGTATTTTTAAATGTTCTTCCTGGGTGTGTATAGTTTCTCTGTGGTTCTCCTGTTTCCTTCCACGGTTCAAACGCTAGCTTAATTAGTCTCTAAATTACCCTAAGGAATGTAAGTGTATTTATTCTGTGATGGACTGGAGGGTCAACCTTTTGGACAATGATCCTTATGCAGAAATATACATGCATATATAGTTATTTACATTTAGCCCTAGAGTAAAATCCTTTTCAAGTGTTTTTTTTTTATTAAATCAGAAATGAACACAAAAATCTTTAAAGTATTTTTATTTAAATAGAAACTTCTGACTAAAACGGCAGAATAAACACATCATATAAACACATAAAAGGACAAACACTCATAAAAATAATAATCCATAACAGCAACGGCTAATTATTATACATCCTTACATTCAAACACGTGTGGAGAGTTATAACTGGTAGTTATTATTTTGCACAGACACACACACCATACAAACACACAGTCTTTGTGCACATACAAACCACCTCTCTCACACACTTTAAGCCACAGGTTTATCCCTTTAAAGTCAGTCAGGGTGAACGCTCAATATGTCCGTTATGTTACACATGGACAACTGTGCTTAAATAACAGCTAGCATCAGGTTAGAGACTCATTATTTGGTCACTTTCTGCATTAATCCACACTTTGAAATTCTGTATTTTCTTGTTAAGCTCGAAAAATATTCCTTTTTCAAAGTCTTATCAAAACAGATTATTTTTACAGCAGTGGTGTGAACCGATGCATCAGGACTTCAAGTGCTGTGCTACTAATGTTTTTAAATATTGTTGGACAGTTTGCTGCATTATGTTTCATTTTTTTTGTTAATTCCTGAAAGGCACTAGGTGAATATTGTCTCTGTTTTAAAATGAGTAAAAAAAAAAATCAAAACAGCAATAACTGAGATCACATTAGTACGGAAGAGGATTAGGGCCACTGAAAAATAAAAAAAATTAACTGATTTTTAAATTTTATTTCAGTTTAATATGGGGAAAAAGTCAGAATTCTGACTTTTTTCTAAGAATTCTGACTTTTTTCTCAGAAACCTGACAGATAACAAACATGTTAGCATCAAGCCATAGTCATGTCTGTTTTAGAGACTAGCTCTCTTGTTTTAATCACCTTCTGCTCTTCCATTAATGAAATAGCATCACCAGGGCCCCCTCGGGCACGTAAAAAGTTTCCTAATTCATTTTCCACCAATGTGTCACTGGCCACCTCAAACAACTCACATCTTTGTCAGTGAAGCTGAGTGCTCCCATATCTCTTCCTTCATGGTGCCCATCTACATTAAGATCCAAAATTCTGAGATTAAAGTCATAATTCTGAGATTAAAGTCAGAATTCTGACTTTTTTCCCCATACTAAACTGAAATAAAATTTAAAAATCAGTTACCTTTTTTTTTTCTCAGTGGCCCTAATCCTCCTAATTCCGTACATTAGGACAATAAATGTAATGGAAAAGTTACACTGTAATTCAAATAAAGAATACATTCTCCAATGTGAGGCCTTTTGGGGGAGGGAGGGGAGGGTGATTCAAAACATGTAAAAATACTGAAATGGTAACAGGAAACAGATTTAACTTGCAGTTACATTTAAATGCAGCAACAAACAGACTTTTACAGGTTTGTGTGTTCAGCCCTGATTCAAGATGACCTAATTAGCTCCCTTATAACCATCAGACGGGGAAAATAAAACTATCAGAATGCAGTACGACAGTAAGAAACAGAGGAAGTCGGTGGGTCCAGAGAAATGCTCTCAAAAGTAGTCTCTTCTCCGGGAGTCATCACTTATAAACGACGGGTTCCACTGGGCGGGGTAAATGCATGAGTGGCGTGATCCCGGCATACCCGTGAACGGATAGAGGCCATTTCGCTCCAGGTCAGCGTTACGCAAAGCAGGCTGTGAGGAAATGACATAGAAAAATATTTTTAATTAATCAACTGCTACAGAAAATAAAGGTTTTTAACTTTATCAATAATCGATAAAAACACAGAAGCTTAAGTGTCGAACCAGGTATTCCTGTAAAAAACAGCAAGGAGTTCAGGCCTTAAGGAAGCAAAGGAATCCCAAATCATGGTGCTTTCTCTCCCATGTTTAAAGGATAAATCAGGTGTTAAATGCAGCAGCTTTTCTGTATTAACTCTTTATGGGGAAATAAGTGCAATTCTTTGAAAATCAACATTTCAAGCCTTTGTAACATTCAAAAAAATCTGGATATTTTGATGCCAAAAATTAATGTCAATGTAACAACAAGAAACACCAACTTGCCTGAATATATTAAGAAAAATTACAAAAGTGCTTATACAAGAAATTCATGAAAAACACTTTTTTTGGTACAACATAACCTTAGAGGAATTAATGCTGATACTGGCACTTACATTTTTTAGCTTATAAACGTAAATATAATTTTTAACTAGGCTTATTAACTTTTTAACTTTACTTTTAAACTTTTCATTTAGCTTTTTACCTTTTGTTCTTGACTTTGTTTTTTTCCAACTTAATTTCCAGAAGGTAATATATCATTCAAGGGCTCATCTAATTGGTCAAATTGCAAAATAAGATGTACAGCCATGTAGCAGTATCTTTGCCGAATGGCTGGATATAGATCTTGTGCCTCTAGACTTCACCGAGGGACGGTAACTCCATTTGAAAGGGGATCAAAAACGGTAACTTGCCCTTTAAAGGGTTAAACCAAAGAACTGTAAAATGTTTTTGCTAAACTCATCACATCCCACATCTTTCCTTAGAGATGCTATAAAAAATCCCAGTCTGCCGGTTGATTTTGACCAACTTTTTAAGAAATTAGTATGATTTATAAAATTCATCCAGCTGCATCATAGTGATCTTATAGGCAAAAAAAAAGCTTATTTGTAGAGATTTTTGCCTGATTAACAGACTTTTTAAAAATTTTTCCTCAGGTTTAATTTCTGTGAAATTAGTTCTGTTTGGACTGTATCTATTAGTTTTTGACAAAGGTCCAAACATTACAGAGTGCAGACCTCCACCAAGCAGCTCATTTCCCAATCTCACATCATTAAAGGAACTTTTAGAAGATAAATCAAGGTAATGAGCTGGATCATAACTTAATTCCATGGGTTCTAGATTGAGCTAAAGCACGCATAGGAAATATTTCAGCTCATTCATCCACAGCTTTTTCTGTAATCTTGCTAAACAATCCACAAACAAACCAATGCTGCAAAAATAAAACATTACTACAGACAGAATGTAAACAGATGAGAAGGCCTACCAATAAGGCTACCTATAGGGCTTTTTTAGAGAGCCTTAGGTTTGCCTAAAATGGCTAAATGTCTGTTTGTATTCTAGTGCTCTGATGCCACCTAGGGAAGGCATGCATTATACTTTGAAAGGCCCTGTCCTGTCTCTCAATGTTAAGGAATCCTCTGAATAACTCCTAAATCCAGATAGTTGCCTGAATGTAATGAGCTCTAAGTTGGGCTAAGGCAGAGCACAACCCGATCCGTCCCGGAAGCACGACCCATACCATCAGCTCATTAATGCATGTGAAAGCAGATATTCACCCAGTTTGCCATAAGTAATCCAATTATTGTACTAAAGCACTTATTTCTAATCTTAACTCACTAAAGAATGCAAATACACATATTTAAAAAAAAAGAAAGTTTTATGACTTTTTTTAAACAATTTGATGCTTTTTACATTTTCTCCATTAAACTGCATCCCTGATACCATCATCGGACATGCTCAGAAAGGAAAAAATTATTAAACCATGTTTATCTGCATTTTAGTTGTTTCTTTCTTTAGATCACGCAATTTCAGGTGCAGTTCGGGCCCAGACAACTGATAAAATAGAAAGGATTTTAAGGCATTTAATTTTTCAGGAAATACATTATTAATGTTTAACACAGTATATTTTAGTATACTTACTGTTTTTGGGAAGGGGAAAATGTAATTTAGGTATTTTTTTACAAAATAAAATTGAGGGTGACCCGTATATATATCTGGTTGTGCAAATGAGCTGATTGTATGGATTGTGCTACTGGGACGTATCGGGTAGTGACAAGCACACCTTTGGGAATCCGTCCATCGCTTGTTCTGTATTCCTACTATCCAAACAACAAAAACAAACTGAAAATACTGAAAACGTTACACTGTAGGAAATAATAGGCCATCAAAGGAGAAAGGAAAATATCAGTCTGCTTACAGAATAGTAAATGTCTGTCATCTGCAGCAGGTTTTTGGTGCTGCCATTTTCCTGCATCTCTATGGTCTCCCTGCCCCACTCCATGGATATCCGGTTGTTTTTGGGAAAATCTGCATACGGCGACATCTGCATGTCTCCACTCTTGAAGATGATCTTATTAATGTCATTTTTGTCTTTCCTGAAAGGTGGAATATTAAAAATGTTAATCCCACAGTTTAAGTTTATTGACATCAACCAGATCAAAATAGTTAGAATAAAATTAAACTTGCATTACCAAAAAAAAAACTAAACAAACACATGAAAAAAATATTTTTGCTCCTATGATAAGTAGCAGCGTCTTACTTGCAGCAAGTCACAATGAGAGCGATAATGAGGATGAGGAGGAGAGCGCCTCCTGCAGGTGACACCACAACTGCAATCAGCTTGTAAACTGTAATGTTAACAAATTAAATTATTTTGATTAACAAAAAAAAATCACTATAACCTTTTTCCAAGCAAAAAAATAAAATTGCATCTACTTACAATTGGAGCAATTGAATCCTCCGAATCCAAACATGCACCTAGAAAAAAAAACAGAAACAGGGATTGCTACAGACTTTTAAATTGCATTTTTACTGATCTGAGAGTAAAAATAAAGAAAATGTGACTCACGGGACACATGTGCCGTTTTCCAGCTTGTATCCATCCCTGCATTCTGAAATAAAACAAAAATAAACTTTTTAAAACAAACTGATGCTTCGTCTTCGTTAAACAAGGGACCATTTGATATAGCTGACATGGTTGTTCAATGATAAACAGAGCTTACCTAGGCAAGACAATGATAGAAACAGCTTACCTAGGCAGGACACGTCTTCTGGATTGTGTTTGTAATATCCCTGCAGACACTGGCACTGAGCCGTGCCGCTGCTGTCAGTGCAGGTGGAGCGTTCTGCATCACATTGAGTTTTCTGAGCTTCACATAAACTCTCCACTGAAACACAGGTAAGAATTATTGTGAAAATCAAATAAAAGATTTATAACTAGACCCACTTTAATGGTAGTTTTAGAGATGACAACAATTGTTTTTTTCTAATATAGATGTTTTGTGATTCTGGGCCCAGAAAGCGCTCTAAAATATTTGTATAAATAACGACAAACACTTAAAAAACTTACAGCACCGTCACATGACCAAACACTGATTCTAATGTGCAGGTGAGACTTTCACATAAAGCAGAAGCATAACAGACCCTCAGGATGATAACACCACCACCATGCTTTAAGGTAGGTACAAGTGTTTTTACTCTTAAAACCTCACCCTCTCTCCTCCAATCTTTCTTACAGCAGTTTTGGCCAAACAGCTCCTAAATTCTTTTGTGCTTTAAAACTTTAAAACAGGTTCTTATTTTGTAGAACTCTGTAAAATGTTGGTGGTGTTGTTAAATCCTTAAAGACTATGATAAGTCCCAGAGGTTCCTGGATTATTCTCGATTGTTCTGACCAATTTTTTTTTTCCTGTTAGGGTTGCAGATTATTAACCCCCAAAACACATCAAAACTAGATTTGCCAATAACAACTCTTGCTAACATTAAGCTTCTTAATTAACTTTGATTGTATTTCCTAATGGAAACGTATTAACTTTGCTGAATAGATATATCGGTGGGAGAAACGAACCCACTGTTAAAATAGGATGCTTGCATCGCTTTATGCCTGTATGAGTTGGATCCAATTCATCATGAATTCAAAGCTGTAATAAATTTTTTCATAAATCTATTCAGGGTGTAGGGAGTAGGAAAAAGTGTATTTAAGTTATTCCACAAAAAGCCAAAAAACAAAAATCATTATTTAGGTGCACATCCCATAACATTAATTGAAGGGTTAAGCTAAAAGCTTTTGATAAACCCTGCCCCCTGGTGGCCATACTTATACGCTACAGCTACATTTGATGAACTGCTCAGAGTAAAACTCATAACAGGTCAACACAGAAATAGAGAATAAATTGAAGTTTGTTGGTGATGATGATTATATTGGCGGATAAACTCACCGCGGTAGGACAGCTGATGCTGCAGCACCATTCTGCAGTGAGTCAACGAGGAGCTGCAGTTGCTCAGAGACATCTGGATGCTGTTGTACACTTCAGTAGTCGTCACATTGGTGGAGACAGCAAACATGTTGACAGCCAAGATTTGAACCCCGCCCTGCTCCCTATAAAGAACAATCCCAATGATTAGGATTTATTATTAATCTCTAAACCTAAATAAGAAATATCCAAAGAATAGAAATGTAAAAGTTAAAGACTGCTGCAGACTTACTTCCTCCTCAGTGTTGAGCGGCTGTAACCTTGGAGCACTGATAACGAGATGTTAAGCTGCAGGATCATGCATGAGATTTATTAAATATCAAACATTTAAGGATGTAACCAGTGTTGTTTTGATAGTGTTGCAGGGTGAAACTATTGAATATTGTAAAATACTATAGAGTGAGACTCACCAGCTGTATGAGCTCTCTCTGAATCTCGTACATAGCAGAGCTTTTTATTCTATCTTTTCTGTTGAAACTGAAGGTTCCCAGAAATGTCTTTGCTATAAAAGGGAAAAAGAAAAGCCTTCAGTGAGCAGACAGAGATAACTTTAACGAAAAGGTAAACAGGACTTCTTTATATTTCAGCATCACCTCTGCTGCACGTCCGTCCGTCCTCCAGATCGTAGCCGAGCGGACATTCACAGTTAAAAGAGCCTTTGGTGTTGATGCATGTGGAGACAGCTGGGCAGGGGTCCTGCTCACACTCATCCATATCTAAACACAGTAGGTGCAAAGTTATAGGAGGGACTGATATGTAAAGATCGCTCCATTACTTCAGTCTTCAAGTTTGATTTGATGGCGTAAACATGAGCTCACCCTGGTTGCAGGTCGGTCCCGTCCAGGCCTTCTGACACTGACAGGTGAACTCAGGTCCTTTATAGCTCACACAAATCCCTCCATTCAGGCAAGGGTTCGACACACAGGGATTTTCTGACATTCAGAGACATCAAAGGGTTTAAAAATTAATTTATATCTTTACCTGTCGGCAAGATGAAAGCAGAGCTACCCCAGGGAATGTCAGGACATTTCTACTACACCAAATAAGAATAAATAACACTGGTAGAACATTTCTAAGTCTACTTTTTATAAATATCAGGTTAGCTCTGGCTAAAGTACGACTGTGTGGAACTGGATCTGATCTTATTTGGCAGAAACTACTTTAGGTAATTTGATAATAATAATACATGAACAGGGTCACATGATGGGGTTCCTTAGATTTGGACACTTTCATAAAAAAACTACATAATTTATCCCATGCTACAAGATCAATGCTAAAGAAGCAAGACTTTATATTTGTGTCACTTTACTTTAGTCCAGTAAAATCACTAAATCTGTGTGTCTAAAACGTACATGATTGCAAGGGTCACATTTTACAAAGTTTAATTCATAAAAGACAAAGGCACTTAATGAAATGTAATAAATGATTCCAAACATCATTAGACTGTAGAATAACCACAGAGGAAAAACTAAAGTTTTATTATGGACTCAGCAGGGATGTCCCTATACAACTTTTTGATGTCCAATGCAACACTAAAATTGACACAATGTAAGCATCAATCATGAATCCTTTTATTCATTATTTTGTGGATTTGAATTAAAAAAAGGTTTAATGAATTGATATTAATGAGAGTCAACAACAATAACAGATATGAGAGCAACTGGCCCACTGATTATTACCTTTGCAAAGGAAATCTGTCATGGACTTGGTTCTGTTGTACTTTTCTTTGCTCCTCGTTATCTAGTTTTATTGGTTTAATTCCAGTTTTGTTGTCATTTCTAGATTTATGTTCTCATGTTTTTCTGTTGTCCTCTGTTGCCCTCTTGTGTATGTGTGTGTGTGTGTGTTCCTTCCCCTTGGCTCCCTCGTTATCTCCTCTCACACCTGCTCTTTGTCAGCTCGTTAGCCCTGCCTTTGTTTCTGTCAGCTATATGCTCTCCCTCTGATCTCACTCTTTGTTGGTTCCTTGTTGTTGCTGGTCCTGTCATCGCTGTCGTTGTCTCACCTCGTCTCTCCCTGGCTCCTTGTATGTGTTTTCCCTTGATGTCTCCATGGTTCTGGTCTGTTACATTATTAGTTGGATTTTTGGACTGCCTTTGTTAACCATTTTCATCATTAAAACTACAAGTATTCACCTCAGCCTCTCTGCCTCTGCATTTGGGTCCTCTAAACCATAACCAAAACGTGACAAACTCATGTTTTTAGAAGAGTTTGTGTGTTTGTCTGTCTGTCTTTGCGCAGCATAATTTGAAAAGTTATTAACGGTTATTAACGAAATTTTTACTACAGGTTATATTTAAAGTTTCGGAATGATCCAGATCATGTGTGAGTTTTAGCCACAGGTTAAAGTCACAATATGGGGGAAAGTTTGCTGCTTGGCAGAGGTCTGCACTCTCAGGGTGCTTTTCTGTTTAACCAATGGGTTAGATCAGAGGCCTCCGACCCTGGTCTTCATGCTCTACTGTCCTGCAGGTTTAAGATGGATCCAATTCGAAAACACCTTTGCCAAACTTGATGACATGCTGTTGAGGTAATCAGTCATTCAAATTAACTGTGTTGAAGTAGCAATGACAGTAGATCTGGAGGACCAGGGTTGGAGACTTCTGGATTATATAAACTTCTGCCAAAAGCAGATATTTTTTTTGCCTGATATGGGACCGATATCTGATATCCATATCAGATCAGAACATCGCTAGTCAGCAAATTTCAGCATTTTGTCATCAGAAACACAGCCTGAACAGAATAAAGGTTTTTCAAAGGCACAGCATTCAATTTAATAGTAGGTTAGATTATTTTAGTGGTGTCTATGTAAGAACAATAAATATATATAAAAAAATTAGACAACATTATATCAACCAAAATGTGGCAGCCATTGTCCCGACCAATACAAGGAAATATTAATATCATTATAGCCCTTTAGTGACCCAGGTGGCTCCTGCAACTCATACATAAAGGACAAAGTTGGTTCTATTAGTTAATTTCTATCATGTCTTAGCCTTCTAATATAATTGCTATCAATTATTATTTGAAAAAATGTATTTTAATCTGATACTTACTTTCTTATAAATTTAATTTTGATGTATTTATTGTGTTTCCTTTATCTCTGGATCCTTATACTCCTGTAAAGTTTAATATAATTTATCATTTATTCAGCTTTAGTTGCAATTAACAGCATGCGTCGTCTTAAGGCATTTTAGAAAAATAGTAAATTCGATCAAATTATACGAACAGATTCTAAGTCCATTCCAGCTGATTCTATTTTGAGTCCTATACAGCAATAAAGTAATAAAATAGCAGTATAATTTTGACCAGAACTCATCAATTCAGTAAATCTTCTACATGTGAATCAGAACATTGTCTCAAACAATTATAAACACGTCTGATTTAGTAGTTAGAGTTTAGAAAGCATTATATTTAGGGTGCTGATGACATGTTATCCGCTCTACTGGATCTTTTAATGAAAGTTTCATTGTAACATTCCTGCTGAATAAAACCTGATTTCTCTGTCAGTCAGTGAGGATAAGAACATAGGAGCTGAGGAAGCAAAGGGGAAGCTAAACGCAGCAAAGTGAGAGTCTGAAATCATCAATAACTCACCATGTGGCACTTTGGTAGTTTGGAAGGTGGTGGACGTGGTGGTCGCCTCCGCCTCTGTGGCTCCATCGGTCTGTTTCTTGGTGGTGGGCGGAGCCTCTGTGCTGCTGGCTGTAGTGCTTGGACTGTTGGTGGTTATGATGTACTGACTTTTTGTTGTAGTGAGTTTTTGGTGCCCTGTGGTCGTCTCGGTCTGAGCGGTGGTGGCTTTTGTGGGGATGGTCATTTTAGTTGAAGGCCTCTGCGTTTGGCTTGGTGTCACGCGGACTGTAAGGAGCGCCGTAGAGGTCTGCAGGGCCGGGGTGGAGGCTGTGGTGGAGGGTGAGGTGGACGGGAGGGCGGCCTCTGTGGTGGACTCTGTGGTATAAGCACTGGAGGAGCTGCTCAGCATTGCTGCTGATGTAGCTGGCAGGGGCGGCACAGTGGAGGTCATGGCGGTGGTTGTAAAAGCAGTGGATTTAAAGGTGACTTCCTCTGTTGTCTCTGATCTGAAAAAAAAAATAGTTAAATCAGAAAAAAGTTTGTTTTTGAGCATTTGCTAACTCATCTCTGGATTATCAAAACTTTTCCACATTTGGCCAAATTATAAGAACACATTTCAGCGTGTTTTATTGGGATTTAATGAGGTGGGTGAGTAGAGGAAATTACAAATTTATGAACTGAAAGAAAAATGATGTTATAATTTTTAAAATAAAAATCTAAAAACGGTCGTATGGATTTTGAATTACCAATTCAGTCAACACTTAAAATCATCTTTGGTTTATGTTTTATATATATTTTGTCTGTGGGCCCCTTTGAAAAAAATAGATTTCAAGGGATTATCCAATATTAAATACTTTCAAAAAACAGTATGATTCCTCATATTTCAGAAATTTACACTTTTTTGTAATTTTATGTTTAATATAATGTGTTTACCATGTACTTGTTTCCACTACACATTTATTCATTACTTACTGCTAGTCAGTCACCAGCAGGGGGCGCCAATGGTCTGTGTAGGAACTGAATCAAGTGTTTGCATTGATTGGAATAAAAGGTTAAGTTATTATTTACCTTTCAGTGGCAGTGACTGGGACAGTGGAGAGGAAGGTCTCTGTAACCGTCCCTGGCATGTGTGTCTGTGACTCCAGGTCAGATAAACTGCTGACTGTAGAAGGTACGGCAGTCAGACCAAAGCTCACGCTGCCCTCACTGGTTTGGGATGAAAGCCCCTCTGTGCCCTCCTGGTTCTGGGTGTTGGGGCTGTGGGCTCCAGTTGTCATCTCTGTGGATGATCTTTCACTACTTCCAGAATCAGGATCTGTCCCAGAAGCATTTACAGGAACCTCTGCATACGAAGTGAGAGGAGGAGTGGAAGAAACAGGTGTTTCTGACTGATCCGTGCTGGGCTGCGTCACCCTGAGGGGAGGCGTTGAACCTGTGATCTCCTGAGATGTTAAAGAAAGCTGATGCTTGGTGGCATTAGGCTGTCCGGTTAAACCTGGGGTTCCATTGGCTCCTGCTGGCCCCTCAGTCTCTAAAGAGGTTCCAGTCACATGCTGCTCTGTTGTTTCCTCACCATTAGTCCTTGTTGCCGGGGCGCTCTGAGTATAACCCTCTGTGTCCGCAGGTCTGGGAGGGATACTCCAGTTGGACGGAGGCAGGAGGGAACTCGAGTTCTGAGTGAAGGCAGGAGAGGTGCTGTTGTTAGAGGAGGTAACAGAGAGCAGGGTCCTCTCCCCAGCACGGCTGACAGTGGTTGTGTAGGTGCTGCCAGTTAGCGTGTCCGTCTGCGACTCCGAAGACGTTGCGTCTCCCAAACGGAGCGTCGTATCCGGACTGCCCTGGGGCAACGTTTCATCCTCTGGCACCAAGGAATGGTCGTCCGTGGACACAGAGTGGGAGATCACTGCCATCTGGTTTGTGTTAGTAAGGCCACTACTACTACTGCTACTACTAGTGCTACTACTACTACTACTTCTAGTACTACCACTAACACTACTACTGATGCTGCTACTGCTGCTACTACTAAAACTACTTTTACTGCTGCTGAAATCAGAGGTGATTATAAAGGAGGAGGTAGGTGGCTCCGTGGACAGATTTGTGACATCTTGAAACTTGCTGCTTGTTTCGGTGAACACTTCTGTTTGCTCTGTTTCTGCAAATACAGAAAAAAAGACCAAAATTTAATATTTCTCAAGGAAAAAATTATATTTTCCACATTTTATAGTTCCCCTTTGAAAGAACAGGTCATTGGCTCATAAAGGTTTAATAATATTAACTTTTTTTTTTGGCAGACTTAATGTTTGTCTTGTTTCTTGATTAGTAAACTACAATGGATGGATGATGGATGAATGAATAGGCATATGGAGTGGATGGATGGTAAATGGGTGCATGGAGGGTTTTCATTAATGGATGAATGAAGGGTTGACAAATACATCAATATGTACAGAATAAAAGTGGTTTGATTGGAGCAATTTATTTTCAAAAAAGACATCTAATTCTCAGATGGACTGACTGTATTTTTTTTATGCAGGAATTTCCTTTCCTATTGGGTATTGGCGTCATGTAGAGAGCAGGGTGTCTGCCACCCCGGGCCCAGGAATGAGACCCCTTAACCCTACAATCCTCAATGGGAGCTACAGAAAGCTGCTCACTGCTCCCTTAAAGGACGAGTTTAATGCTGAGGACTGATTTTTTTTAAATGACAAATAAAGGTGATTCATATATTTATAAGTTATATACATAATAGTGAGGGGTGAGTATTGGCATGGGTGTTTCGATACGACACTTGTCACGATACTTTGTTCACAGTACGATATTATCACAGTATTGCAATCTCACTATATATTGCAATATTTCTCTGAGTTATCAAATTAAAGGTATAGATAAAAAAAAGCAAACGTTTTATATGTTCATCAAAAGATATTGATTATTTATTTATCTTGGTAACCATGTGGTTTGGGGTTTGAGTCAGTTTCCTTCTTCCACTGTGACTGCCTCAATGAGGGAGCGGCCTAGTGGTTAAGGCATGGAGCTTGGAATCCTGAGGTTCTGAGTTCAAACCCCACTATCATAGACTGCTGCTCTGGGTCCCTGAGCAAACCCTTAACCCCACAATGCTCCCCAGGCGCCGCACAATGGCAGCCCACTGCTCCTCAAAGGGATGGGTTAAACGCAAAGGGTGAATTTCTATGCTCTGTACTTGCAACAGTGTAATGTCTGGAAAAACGCATAGCAATAGGGCTACACAGCACTATTGGTACAGATGTAGCCCATTTTATTTAAATTCCCTCATTATTTCAGGTAAAATGTTTTGTTTTTTTTAAATCGATACTAGGAACTGAAAGATTAATGTCATATCTGGCAGCAAAAAAATCACAATAAATCTCAAAATTGATATGTTCCCACACCGCTATTAAAGATGTGTAAAATCAATTACAGAAACCCAAATACACTGAAATGAAATCCTAAAGGTGTTGTGGATTTCGTTAACTCCCTGGAGTTTTTAATTAACCATTCAGTGATGGTGTATAGTGGCGCTCACCAGGTTGTCTGGAAGCTCGTTACGACTGCAGACGGTGAGAAGATGCTGTCAGGAGGGAACAATAACGGCTGTTTGGGCAGCAAAGTTTGGGTGGAGAGCAACTGGCTGCCAGTTTGTCTACTCTTAACAATGGCTTGAAGTCCTAAATATGGAAGTGGCTGTCTCTGCTGGGAATCTGCCATTTCCTTCCTAAAGCTGAGTGAGCAGAGGGAGATTGGCAGAAAACGGCAAAGCGTGGACCTGGGCGTGTTTTCATTGTTCAGAGGTCTCTTTTAGCCTGCTGGGTAAAATGATTCAGTCACATATAAACACACTAAACACTAGCAGAAATGAAAAGAACGTGACAGCTGAGACAACACGGCTAATTTGGGGACATTTTTGTGGTGTTTAGCAGTTTACAGCTGAGAATCAGGGCCGAAACGAAGAGGAATGGAATGCAGCCAAGGTCCCACCTAGAAACATGGATTTACACTGTGGCATTCACAATATAGAGTTATCATTTTACTGATTACTTTATTTGCTCAGAACAATGATTAGCTTAAACCTTAAATTATGGCAGTATTTTAACCAGCCTAATTTCAATTGTCAAATAAAACCTAAATAACTCATCTGAGTGATATAAGTCCATTAAGCATTCATTTAGCAATTTACTAACTACCAATGCTTTATAATTATTATCACTCCTGACAAAGATTTATTTTCTCAAGAGTTTATTGTCATTGTACTGTCACAAGTATAGAACAATTAAATTAGCTCTCTGCATTTAACCTATCCCCTTGGGGCACAGTGGGCTGCCATTGTGCGGCGCCCAGGGAGCACTGCAGGGTTAAGGGTCTTGCTCAGGGAGCCAGAGGGTCAGTCTCTGGGGGTGGGGCTTAAACTGAGAACCCTAACCACTAGATCACCACTCCCTAAAGCTGGCATTAGCGTGAAGGGTCTTGCTTAAGGACCCACACTGGTAGCTCATCCCCCTATTCCCCCCAGCTGGGATACGAACCGAGGCTTCCTGTTTGCAAGACGGGTAACTCACCACTAGCCAGCCGCTAGTAGAGATGAACAACAACCCTCACTGCAGGAATATAGCTCATCCTTTCATTTTAATGTTTAGATCCCACTATAATAATAGGTGATATAATTATGCGACTAATGCTAAAACAATTAATCAAATTTATCATGATTAATCAATTACTGAAATAATCTTAAACTGATTTGGCAAATGATTAATCAATACCTGGGGTATAGAGACTCTAAAAAACGGCTTTAGCTGACAAAGCAGTAATTATACCAAGATTGTGAAAAAAATATATAAAAAAATTTGCATTTAAGTAAAAAAAAAAACTTGAGTGGAAAAGTTAGTTTCACCTGGTTTAACTTAGTCAAAAAAAATCTTCTTTAAGAAACATTTTGCTATCCGATTATTAATCAATTAATTAAAAAATATAATAGACGGATTAATCGATAAGAAAAATAAATATTAGTTGCAGCCCTAGATACGACCAAACAATCCATATGAAATATGGATATTTTATGTTGATGTTTATTTTGATTGCATAAGTTAGATTTTATAGTAAGAAAATTGTTAAAACGCTGAGTTCATCAAGGTGATATAATTCTAAAGTTTACCTAGTTAAAAGTTTTAGTCAAACTTTTTATAACCTCCATATATTCTGCCACTGCAATTAACTTTTCTGTCTTTTTTGTTCTTATGTTCTGCTCATGTGCAGGACTTTAATTTGCCTTCTTAATAAAATATACTAAACTTATAAACTTCTTTCACATTCATTGTGTTTCATATAATACTTTTGTCCTGCGATAGACTGGCAACCTGTCTAGGGTGGACCCAGATGGATGGATGGATGGATGGATGGATGGATGGATGGATGGATGGATGGATGGATGGATGGATGGATGGATGGATGGATGGATGGATGGATGGATGGATGGATGGATGGATGGATATTACTTGTAAGGTTAAAACATTTAAATAATAAAGGCTCTAAAATTAAACTTCTAGGAAGTTTCATTTTAGACCAAACCAATTTATCTCATTAATCTATTATTGAACAAAAAATGACATATTTTGGTACCGAATAATTGTCAATTTCACTCACAGACAGTAAAACATGTCATTTCCTGAAAGATAACTCACTTTGTAGTTATTAAACCCTTGAAAGAATATATATTTATCTATACACATATACCTGTATTTTAAATATTTTTTAGAAACAAAAAAAAAATTAAATAAACAAATGGAAAAACTAAGTTTTTTTTATATGTTGAAGAAAAGCATCTTTTGCTATCTTAGTCAAAAAAATAGCCAGCAGATGAATAGTTATAGTTACAGCCTCAATTAACCACAAAAATAAGAAAACAAGATAATCCATGATTTACATAATGAAGGTTTATCTTCTTAAACAGACCTCTTGGCTATAATTGTTTATATCTGCATTAAAAAGATGATGAAAAAGCTGAAACTAGACAGGCAGCCCAGTTTATGCTGTCACTGAACATGGTAACTATATATTTGTAGATATGCTAGTCAATTTGCATGTTTTCTAAGCCACAACAAGGCTTTGCTTTGCTGGGCTACTCTATAAAGCTTGGAACTCAATGCAATTTTGAGAAAGCTTCCCGAATGGGAAGCAAAACATCCTCAAACTTGGAAAACAAAATCCATTGGTTTGTTTTTAAACTTTTTTTAACATATTTGTACATAGTTCACTTTGAATCTATCCATATATAATTCTCTTTTTGCATTTTTATGCATATAAATTATGTTGTTTTTTTTCACCCTAAGGAGGCATTTTTTGCAAATTGGCACCATGTGCATTAAGAAAGCTCTCTGCTCTCTGTCTTCTACTGCAATAAATGATTAATCTACTTCAATTCTGCCACATATTTACACCTTGGGGGTGAAAAGAAAACACAGTTAGTGTTCAGGGATAAACAGGAGTTCTTCCTCTGCTCATCTCTCTAGTCTTGTGTGGTCTGACAGCTTTTTATCTGGCCTCCTTCCAGGACTAAGACAGGAGCTCTGAGGGGGTTAGCATCGGTGCCACAAAAGGCCTCCATCCAAAAACTCAATAAAAAGAGGATTCAGAAGCATAACAGTCTGTCTGATGGGAGTCCATAGAGAAGAGAAAAGGGCCACCAGACTGTTTGTGTCAGTCTTCATATTTCATTTCTTGTCTCTAAACTAAACTCAAGATTGGAACGTGGTGCTGGCAGAAAGTGATGGACACTCCCAGATCACTGCTGTTTATCTCTCAGCTGTTGACACAGTTGTCAGTGTTTCTTCACATCTGATATCCTTCAGAAACTTCAGCATAGTCATCTTCTTCAATGACAGCTTAGAAAAGCCGGGAATAAACATATTTAACTAAACTGCGTGAACATTTTAATGCCAGGTTAAGTTGGGACGAGAAAGTAGCAGGTTTTCGTTTTAATTCTGATGGGTATCTGTAGGTCATGACCTCAAAGCTGCATTTTATTTCAGCCGACAGTCCAACATCCCAGCTCAGAGTGAGGGCATCTGTGTTATGAAACTGGTTGGGACGGCTCCCAGTTGGACTGAATGTAACAGCATGAATCATAAAGGGTGTTAGTGGGAATGTACTGTAGGAAACATGAAGCCAAACCCAAGACAGGACAAATAAAACCTAAAACACATCCTTCTAATAACTCTGCCACAAATATTAACAAAAACTGCTGCAGAATGAACATCAATGCATTCAGCTTGTTAAGAAATATCACCCAAAATACAAAAAGAATAAACTCAAACGGTTCAATAAGGAAAGTCCTGTTACTACTTGGGTGACACCATAATAGAAAACATGCAAAAGCAGCATTAGCTATATAATGTGATAATGATGATTCAAGTTGTGACTACGTCACTTTTTCCTCAATCTTTTCAAAATGTTCCATTCTTCATCATTTTGTTCCCATAACTGTGACATTTTAACATTAGACGGCCAAAGTTCATCGAATGAGACAAACACATTCTTGATATGTAGAGTAAACACATGGTTACTTTATTATTTAGGTTTTTCAAACATTGACATTGCAAATAACTTGTATTTTTATATATTTCATAGCTCTAGCTTTAGAGATGCCCCATCAGTTTGATACTGAAGAAAATTCGATGGTATTTATGAAAATTGGCTCGATCCTTTGGGGCAGATGAATTCAGTTTGTTGTTTTAATTTAGCCAAACATTTCTTTTGTACAGCAGAAGGATTATCCTTTCATAAGAATCTGTCTTTAATAACAAATAAACCACAAAAATAAGTTTATTTGAACCCTTAAAGCTGCATATTTGTTTCCAGGATGGTATTATTCCTGTTAACATAATTTACTGTTTTTATGACTTCCTTTTTTGACCTTATAAAAACTTCAAATAGCCTTTTGGGATATAAATGTAAATGGTAAATGGCCACAGCTGCCCTGGGGCACGCTGACAGAAGCAGGCCATGCTTCTTAAAAAATTCTTACAAATCTTTTTCTTGTCTTTATAAGAATTAACACTAAAATGTTCCAAGATCTGGAACATTCAAGAAGTTTCCACCAACAGTTAACTATAAGTTTGGCTCATTTCTCTGCAGAGCTGGCGCCCCTGAATCTGGATTGTAGACCAACATTCTCACAGAGTTTCTACAGAACTAAGATAATAGCTTTATGAAGGAACATCAAAAAAGTGGACTCTTTTGGTCTTAAAGACATTTTTCTAAATAATTTTCTGCTCATTATTCATTACTAAGACATATTTTTACCCAAAACTTTAACTTGGTTGCTGATTTCCTGTGATGCTGCTTCAACATGTATCCATCGCCTTCCTGTCTTTTCTTGTAAAAGCATCATTTTGTAAAATGCACGCATCCATCTTCCTGCAAAATACCGTATATATGAACAACCAAACATCCTAGAATCCTGCAAGCTTTCCCTCTTTTCCTCCAAATGTAAAGTGGTGATTAAAAAAAAAAAAACAAAAAAAAAATCTAGCTCTTTAATAAAACTACTATCCAAGTCTCAAAAAATGTAAAATTCTTATGGTTCCTGGGTTCTTTCTCTCTGATCGACCTGTCCATGGCCAAGATAGTATCATATAAACTTTTCAAAGTTTATAAAGAGAAAATGATTTTTTTGTTTGTTTGTTTTTTTGTTTTTCAGAAATATAAATTCTCTTACTCTGGTATTTAGTAGTGGAAACATTCTACCACTGCTATATTGATGAAAATGGGAAATAATAAAGAAATTTAAAAAAAGATTTCCTGGAAGCTTTCAGGTTTTAGATCCTCTTCTATACGGCAGGTGTTTGGAAGCCGACTTTTGTTTTTAGGGATATCCAGACACTACTTTTTTAAAATTTCCAATATAATGCCGATATTGACCCGACACATCAGCACGAATCACACAAACTATTTCTAAATAATTTTCTAGTAAAGAATTTTTAAAAAGGTTTAATATAGTGCTGGCTGATTAATCAATAAAATTGATTTGTTTAATTTTTTTGTGTGAAAGATTTTTTATTGGATATTAGATTTTTTTTTTATCAAATCAACTCCTTTTGTTCTATAGCTCAGAGTGACATCATCACTCTTTGTTCATAAATGAAACTGGCTCGCTGTGTGATGTAACCCGCTGGAAGCATTTAGTTTGTTATATTTTCATTGTTTGTTGTGAAACATGATTATTTTAAAAGCATGTTTAACAGCTTGAATGTTGATGTTAGTTAAGGTCAGCTCCTAGGGGGGATATTTAAAAAAAAAGACAGTTTTAGAAAGCAATATTTTTCATTGTTATAATGAAACTTATATGAGGAGAAAAAAAATGTTTAATCAGATTCAGGAGGACAAAAAATCAGAGATTAGACTCTAAGCCATATCGCCCAGCCGTGGTAAATCAGACAATATTATTCAAACAGAGAGTCAATTAGGGTTGCATCTAAAGATTCATTTTCAAATGGATTAATCTGTTTGATTATTATTTCCAATTAATTGATTAATATTTGGATACCAAAATGCTCCCTAAAGAAGGCTTTTTACGAAATCAAACAAGGTGAAACTAAACATTTTCTGGACGAGGCATATTGACAAACAAAAAAGAGTTTTTCTATCTTAACTGCAAAATGTTTATGTATTTCTTTACAATCTTGGTATAATTGCTCCTCTAAGTGGGTTAAATCTGTCAGTCAAAGGTAGGTTTTAGAGTCTCTATACTCCAGTTAATGGTTTATCAATAATCAGTTAAACACGATTTATCCGATTAGTTGGGAGTCAACAAAAAAAAGTTACATAACTTTCAGCGGAACTTGATAAATAAAGGTGTTTCTATCAACTTGCTTATAGTGGAGATTTTAAATGCTGTTGGATATATTCTGATGAATTGAACTGATTTCTGATACCAATATCTGATCAGGATATTGATCCCTATTTGTTTTTAAACAGTCTAGCAGATAAAAATAGGTTTTGTTATTCTGAGTTTATGCTTCATGTAGAAGAAATTTCCTTTTAAAATTCTCAAATCTGGAGACCTGAAAGACCCTCCTGCACTTAAATCAAAATCATTCAGCAGCATGTTCTCCTTGCATGACCCTCATGTCTGTTAACAGAAAACACATCGGCTGCAGGGAAACTGAAGATGCTGCTGAGAGTGAAGTCATCTGAAGATTCAATATGTCGCTACCAAGTCTCAGCTACGTTTGGATTTTCATTTTATTGGTAAAACTGAATGAAAGGGACATATGAGAGATGAATCTGTCCACTTTAATAAATATAAAGCCTTTTAAATTCAGCTCGCTGTCCCTCCACAGTGAATAAAGATGAAGTTTTAACAGGTCATCAATAGAACTGTAAATATTGCATTTGTAGATTTTGATTATAAATATTCTAATATTTATTTGAATTATTTGATTGGATGTTAAACATCCAATCAAATAAGTTAACCTGTAAAAAATTTTCCCTGACAAAATCTAAAATTTACTGCAAAAGGCTCAAGGTGAAGAACCTCAGCTTTTTAAGCCACTTTGAATTTGGCCGGTAAATAAATAAACAAAAATACAGTTTTCTCCAATAGAGAAATTTTCTCAATCTCCAGGTCTTATCTTATGTTTTCTGTTATAAAACAAACATGTCCAACTCCTGACTAAAAAAACATATTTAGTTTAAATCTAATCAAGATGTTTATGTAAATTTCCTTAATAAACAATGTAGCTAATATATCTATTGCTTAAAATTAGATTAGTTTAGCTTAGTAAATTCCAGAAGACTTTAATGGGTAACATTTCATAACTTTTAAAAGTCTTTTTTATACTGTAGAAGAGTTTAAATAAGTATTTAGGCATCATCTGATCAAATCTGTCCTAATAAAGTTTAATATTTGTGTTTTCTCATTTTTCACAAAAAAAAAATCTTTGGAAATTTAATTTATCTGGAGAATCTGGTTTAACTATTATGTTTTTTTCTATATTAAAAGGAAATTTTAAAGATAATTTCATTGAGAACTAAAGATTTTTATTTATTTTGGTATATTTAGGTTATAGTAACAACTTTACTACCATCTGCAGCTACTATTCATCCCAATATTAAGTCTCCCTGCTGCATCTTGAAGCATTCAATGATTTTAACCTTTAAATCTTTATTTTAATCAGTTTGCATGGTTTGTTTCTATCCTCCAGCAGGGCCCTGTTCCTCTTACCGTGGCTCCTGGCTGCTGCTGTGCGTGTTTCTGCGGTGCGGGAGAGCAGGAGGTCCCTCTGTGATGGGGATAAACTTTCGCTGGAGGATGAAGTAGAAGTTGCGCCGCTTTCTGCGCCGCTGAGTCCATCTGTTCCCGCTGAGCGATCCAAGCCGTCCGTTACCGGAGCGGTGCGGTTGTAGCCGGGGGTCCCTGCCCAGAGGGGCCCCGGCAGCAGCAGCAGCACAGACACACAGCAGAGGAGGAGGTGATTCAAAAAGCACGTTTCCATGACTTCTTTCAGACCCCCTGAATCAGCGGCGTACACGAGTGGATTCCCGGGAGTCCTCCCCCGGGGACACCATGGGACAGGCGCTCCGGCTGCTGGGGGGGTTCAGATGGAAATGAGAGACTCCTGGAGGAGATCCGGAGGAGATCAGGGGCTCTGCAGGCGGGGAGCGGAAGATAAGAGGAGAGGGAGCAGCTTGTTATCATGCTCCTCCTCCTCCTCCAACACATTTAAACTCAGCCTGATTATTGCGCTTCCTGCAGGTGTCACAAGTAAAACCTCCAAAATGATCCTTAAAGCTGATGAGAAAACCTGCTTCCAGACAGATTTAGGGATAAACCTTATTAAAGAGTTAAACAGAAAATATAAAACATAAAAACACCTCAACTTTCAAGTTATAAAAGAAAAGTTCATGGAGAGGGGTTCTGTTGAGACTTTGTAAGCAGTAAACATCTTACCTGCTCAGGATGTCTAATTTTTTTTCATTTTATTTATAAACTTAACACAAAACATCAGAATACTTTTTCTGCATGAATTCATGGAGAAAAAAAGATATTTAATCTACGTAGTATGGAGGCTTAGACCAGATTAATAAGGTCAAACTTTAAATTTAACATCATAAAAAATTAACACCGTTTTAAAATCTGTTATTCATATATTAATAGCGGTTTTGATGTTTCCTAAATTGTTTCTGATTTTATCATTGTTTGTATAATGAATAAATTAATACATTTATATCATATTTGGACCAAAGTCTGCAGTTATAAGTGATCATTTCTATCTTTAAATATCTACATTTAGTTACATCTCTAAGGTATTAGATTTGGTCGAGATATTTCAGAGATTGCATCACTTTTTCTTTCATTTCTTCTGTCTCCTATAGCCGACAGATCCACACCAAGCATTTTCAAGACATTTTCCTTTTAAATGAACAGTAGCATATATTTTGGTACACACTCTACTTTATATTAGCTCCAAACCCACTTTCCAATTAAAAAAAAATATTCATGTCAATTTTCACTCCAAAAACTAACCTGACCAAAAATAATCAAATTTTTTTTTATATATATATATATAAATAATAAAACTTAGGCCTGCATTTAGATCTTACAGACCAAAATAAAATCTAAGACAATAAACTTGAAAAGTTTCTAAACTTTAAATACGATGGAAGGATGATATCAGTTTCCTGAGATTTAACTCAATTTTATTTGGAAACATTTCCCCCTTTTGGATCAATGATGTGGCCTAAATGAACGATTAAAGTTCAAATAACACAGAGTGCAGTGATAGAATATATCAACTTTCTCAGGAAGCTAGAAATGTGTTTCTTTTACTCATTTAAGGAAACTGATGAAACATTGAACGATGCCTTCACTGATTTACAGATCCATTTTCTTTATATTGAATTAACCTAGAACCCAAACATCCTGTGGTTTAAAGTTGTGCAGAACCGTCATGTTGGAGACGGAGCTCAGCTGCAACATGTGTTGCAGTGATGCAGAGATGGAGGATTATGAGAGGAAATAAGCAGCAGAAAGCATGCAAACATCCCCGAATTACAGGAACTAAATATTTACATTCAAGGTGAGAAAAAATGAGATAATTGTTGTGCTTGCAGATCATCATTTGGCCGCTGCTGTTGACACCGAGCATGACAGGAAGAAGGAAGAGGTGAGGTAATATACCCCCCTGTCAGCACTGCAGCTCAAGATCTACCTTAAACACATATGATTTGCTAACCTATAAATGGAATATCACCAAAAATAAGCATATCTGTCCTTATATTTGTTTATAAACAGAAGCTGGTGGTTGGGATTTGCAATTTATTTTTCTTAAATTTGAAAACTAATCAATGCACCCGAGAAAATAAGTTGCTCTTTCAGATCTATAAGAAGCAATTTGCTTTCAGTACTTTTTTTGGGGGGGAAAAACACTTCAAAAACCCAGATAAACAGTACTCCAAATGATTCAAATAGTGTTTATATTTAATCATGTCATACATTTGTGCAATATTCATTGTAATACAAAAGATGATTGTGGGGAAAATCAAAAAACAAAAATTGTAACAAAATAAATTGATTTCTTAACTTAGTTACAAATCAAACTAAATGTGATGTTTAGCACCCAAGTATTTTTTTCGTCCCTCAAAAAGTCTCGCCTTTTGCAGAGTTCTAAGAAAAGCTCAGCTTTTCTTGAAACATCACCAGAACACGAGCTCAGCCGGTGAAAGTCTTTTCTACATAGGAAACATGCGCAGAGCGCAGCAGCATGAGGTACACTTTGTGGTTTGAGGTTTTCAGCCGATGACTTGTGTCACTTGCACGCTGGTTGCACCACCGTGTCGGATTGGATGAACGAAGATTGGTGAAAACGGTGGCGTGAAGCAAAGTCTGTGTTTTCCTCAGTCAGCTGCTTGGTTTTGAGTCCAATTCTTGACAAAGAAGGAGTCACTACTATCTCATCCCGAGGAGACCCTCTCTTCCTGGAAGATGAAGAAAAACAATGAGAAAGATGAACAAACATGGAGAAAAGTTATAATTTAACATAAAGTCAGGTATAAAGCTTCCTGAAACATCTTAGCTGAAGATGTTAAAAAAAGAGCCCCAAAATAAACTGGTGTTTAGTGACTTGTTGACATCCAGCTTCAACTCTTTGCTGTGGTTCTTTAACAGTTGAGGTTTAGAGATTTTCCCTGAGTGCCGTGGCTAAAAATAAACTGGGACCTTTTTCCAACCCAAGCTGGTCACAGTTCAGGTAGTTTTAACCTTTTTATTTGGTGTTCTGACTGTAACAAAGTGAAAGTTTAATTAGTAGTTTCTCCTTTCAGTTCCTCCGGCAGCAATTAGCTGCACGCTCAGTCTACCAGTGAGTAACTTTTGGACATCCCTCTTCATCCGTCTGGCTTGTTTGAACTCACACAATCCTGTTCCAGTCTGTTCTGATGGACCAAAGTTTCTCCTCCCTGATGGGTTCTACTCCAGCTCTTTCCTTCAGATGCTGCTTGCTGATTTACGTTGGGTAGCAGCACCAGAACAGACCCACATTTCATTCTTTACTCCTGGCTAAATCAGATTTTAGTTGGTTTTCACCCATAAGTCCCTGTTTCAGACCTTTGTTGTTCACCTGATACAGTAAAAGTATCAAAGATATCTGCTGATGATGAACGTCTGGAGATTTCCAGTGATGGTTGATCACTGGATGTTTTCATAAAGGCTTTAATTATTTGAATCATTACTCTGGAGGGACAGGAAGGTTTTAATTAATATTTCCTGATAAATGAGGCTCAATACAAATTTATTTTACTATTTTATATTATTTTTATTCTTTCAGTGTCCTTAAATCACACCGGCCCCAAAAGTTCCTCTCCAGCCAAAGCACCTACCTGTGACAGTAAATAACTCAAGGAGCTCAAGAATTAATACTATTCTAATTAGTTAAATGATTCATGCAGTATATAAAGCCATTCCTTGTCATGCACATCCTTGTGATGGTTGGCATATGGTGTAATTTTCTATTTATTCAAACTGTAAAATCCAACTTCTTTAAACTGCAAAATCCTTGGAACAAACTAAATTATAATAAAACTAAAATGCTTTCTTTAAACCAAACTACGATGTTCCTCGTATATTTGGCAAATTTATGTATGAATATTTTGCAAAAACATGCTGCGGTGCATATTTTTGTATCTTTGCATCTAAAGGCTACGTTTCCCATCTTACATGCATTGTTGCCAGGTTGGGATGTTTCCCAATCTGTCAGTTTAGGATGGCAGTCTATGGGTGAAAAATGTTTTACTTTAGATTTATGGTCTAAGAGATCAATAGACTTTGGTTCAAATTGGGTGAGATTTCGTATATCCAGGCGGTTTATGAACATTTTTTGGCTTGGAAAAACGTGACACGGTGACATCTGGCAACCCTGCTGAAGTCACTGCTGCATCCGTGTTAATAACCAAAGCTAGATTGGTTAATCCACAATGTGTATTCATATTGTGTTTTATTGTGTTTTTTAGTTTTTGGTTTTTATTTTAGATGGAAAAATGCCAGGGCCGCAAATCGTTCCTATTCCCAGTCCTGAGGGGAATCAATAAATTGCTGTGAATTATTTCTTGATATTGTTGAGTTTATGCTTCGGTGTAATCGACCTTAAGAAACTGAACGCAGGAATATTTCTCAAGTACCAGTGGATCCCTCCTCTTCATCACAAAGCTTACAATTTGATCGTCAATCCTCTGATCCAGGTGGATAAATGTGTCCTCTGTTCTCGCACTGGAACAGAGGACGATATTTCTACTACTATGGACCTTCAATAGACTTGGAATCATGTTGTACAGCAGGGAGGTGTTGAGATGTGTCTGTAACAAAGCTGATCCCAGTGCAGGATGGACTCTGTCATGGCTGCAGGTTGTCTTTGGTTTTGTTTTTGGAGATGCATGGTTATGCATGGTTGTGGAGAGAAGTGGAAACTCAGTGTCCTAGATTTTTGAAGATATTCAGGCCACGACTTTCTCTATACACTCCAGCTCTTTATAACAAAGCGTGAACTAGCTGAGTTTAGAGTTGGTTAATCCAAGTCAAAAGCTGTGGTTCTAAACAGGAAAAACAAGGACTGTTCACTGTGGATTGGCAACAACCTTTGTATTTAGCACGAGAGTTAAACTAGTCTAATGTCTACAACAGATTTTAGACACTGGGAGAAGGAATGGGGTGTCATTTGTAGTCATTTGGGCATTAGAAAATCTGTCATGGTAAAGCAAGTGCTGAACCAATAAGCAAACGTCTTGATTCACAGACAAAAGTAACATTACATTCCTCATCTATGAACATAGCACATGAAAATAAAAATATATAATAAAATAAATAAATGAGATTGGGAAAAAAAAATGCTAAAATAAACATCAAGAGGTATCCAGGACTTAGTAAAAAATAAATAAAGCAAGAAGCTCCATCATCCGTCAAGAGCTCAAAATAGAACTAGTGCTTTTCTGCATGAAAAGGAGTCAGCTTATTTGACCTAGATCAGATCGAGAACAATTTAAGGAACCTAATGTCCTCTTTGGTCTGGGAAAACCATTTAATCTCTTAAAATGAGCTGGAGGTGTTGCTAGGGAGAAGACTATCTGTGTTTTCCTTCTTGGGCGGGCATGGATGGAAAGAATTATCAGT